ATCCCCCGTTTCAATTTGAACTTGGAGACACGATCGGCGCTACTCCACCATCCATTTTCATCTCTAATTTCTTCTTAAAAGATCAGAAATTTGGGAATTTTGAGGGGAAAACTGTGGCCCTGGAAAATATGCTCAAGTGATAGGAGTAGTTTTTTCAGCTTTAAATGGGCCCCGGACTATAAGTTGGTGACAGTTGAAACTTGAAAGTTAGAAGAAATTGGATTCTCTGGTACAACTAGTAATACTTGTGCCTCACACAATGTAAGCCATTCTTCTCCTTCTTTATTTTTAATTCATCTGCAAAAGAATGATGAATAGAACGTATAGAAATGTAGTTAACTGGCTTAGCCCAATCTTTCAGTCTCCTCCCCTAAAATCAGCCATTGAGACACCCTACAATGCCAGAAGGCTTACGGAAGCTCTATTACTTGCTTTTCACAACCCTATTAAAGCAGACTATACTATTTACTCAAATATTATTCAGCTTTGCATTGACCTAAGGGCTCATAAACAGGGCCGTTTGGTCCACTCCCATCTTATAACTATTGGGTTTCCTTCAAATGTTCATTTAGGAACCAAGTTGATCATTTTCTATACAATGTCCAATGACATGGTGTCTGCCTGCAATTTGTTTGATAAATTGCCTGAAAGGAATGTGGTTTCATGGACTGCGCTTTTATCTGGGTACTCTCAGAATGGATATTCACAAGAAGCCCTTGATGTGTTTGTTGCTATGCGTAGGGAAGGGGTGAGGGCAAATCAATTTACTTATGGAAGCGTTTTAAGGGCGTGCACTAGTGTATCATGTTTGAATTTAGGAAAGCAAATACAAGGGTGCATTCAGAAGAGCAGGTTTTTGGATAATTTGTGTGTACAGAGTGCGTTGGTTGATTTTCATTCTAAGTGTGGGGCAATGGAGAATGCTTTTTGTGTTTTCGAGTCAATGGCAGAGAGGGATTTGGTTTCTTGGAATGTCATGATTTCTGGATATGCTTTTCATGGTTTTAGCATTGATGCATTTCTGTTATTCCGTTGGATGCTCAGACAAGGTATACTCCCCGATTGCTTCACGTTTGGAAGCATTCTCAAAGCATCTATAGGAGGTGGCAAGCGTAGTGGGCTAGCGAAAGTCAGTATGATACATGGATGTATCATTCGACTTGGTTATGAGTCGTACAGTATTATTAGTGGAGCATTAGTTGATGCCTATGTAAAATGTGGAAACCTGGCCAATGCAAATTATCTATACAAGAAGTTGCAGAACAAAGATAGGATTTCATGCACTGCGTTAATTACTGGCTATGCACGTGAAGGTAAAAATAGCAGTGAGTACCTTGAACATTTTTGTGAATTACGTCGGATGCATAGGGAAATTGATAGCATTTTGTTATGCTCTATGATCAACATATGTGCCAATACAGCATCCCTGTCTTTGGGAAGACAGCTACATGCTATTGCGATTAAATACCAGAGCACTCATGATGTGGCCATGGGTAATGCTTTGGTTGATATGTATGCAAAAACAGGGGAAATTGATGATGCCAACAATGTTTTTCATCACATGACAGAGAAAAATATAATATCATGGACGTCAATGATCTCTGCTAATGGTGCACATGGTCGAGGAGTTGATGCAGTTTCATGTTTTAAGAAGATGGAATGTGAAGGTTTTGAGCCAAATGATATAACGTTCTTGTCTCTCCTGTTTGCTTGTAGTCATAACGGGTTGACTGCTGAAGGATGGGAATGTTTCAGGAAGATGGTCAGAAAATATAAAATTATTCCAAGAGATGAGCATTACTCTTGCCTTGTGGACCTTTTTGCACGCAGTGGCTGTTTAAATGAATCCTACTATTTGATTTGCAGAATGAATATAAAGCCTAGTGCCTCTCTTTGGGGTTCAGTTCTTGGGGCATGTAGGGTATATGGCAATATGTACCTTGGAGAGGTAGCAGCCAGGCATTTATGCAATTTTGAACCTATGAATGCTGTTAGCTATGTGGTTCTAGCAAGTATGTATTCTGCAGCTGGCTTATGGGATAGTGCTCGGGATGCTCGAGATGTAGTTCAAACTAGAAGGTTAACAAAAGATCCTGGTTACAGCCTTTTTCAATCCGATAATGATATGTTAGCACTTCCTCCTACTGGCTGATATGTGAAAATGATCCAGATCTGTCTTATAATGTTTCATACTACCCGGATTTTTCAAAAGTGAGTTTTGATAGTTGTAGTTTCAGTAAGCAGTGATGATGCAATGAAGCTTTATGGATCTCACTAGGTGTAAAGCTTCTCTGATTATTACTGGACCTGTTTAACTGATTCCCCGCACATCGTCAGCATTTGATCTAAGTCCTTATTCAAGCTTCATGCCAATGAAAGGGGGAGATTTCTGGTGGAAAGACATTTCCTGAGGGACAGGTTAGTTAACTGAGTTAATTTCTTAAATAGAAGAAAATGGACCTTCCTTACTAAAAGAAATAAAAATGCTTCTTCTACTTCCCACTGTCAGTAGGTCTATTTGGAACCAAAGCTACTTTATCTACTATGTTTATATATGTCTGATTGAATGTTGTATTTAGCCATTTCTAGATGTTCAAATCTTTTTAACTGAGTAGCTTCTTTGTATGATTAATCTTGCTTTGTCAGTCAGACATATAGATCTCTGACACGTATGAATACTGGAAGCTTATGGGATAAAAAAAAGCATCTAGAGTATAAGTTGTGTTAATAACTACCTATTATTTCATGTATAATTGTAATGTATTGCAAAGTTTGGACAAAGGCTGAGCATATATGTGCCCTGTGCTGTCCTAAATCCAGAATAAGGGTTGAGTATTATGAAATTGATCAAACATTCTGAGTGTATGACAAGAAACAAGCATGTTAAATTGATCGTTCTAAGAAATGAGTATTGCTCCCCCCCCCCCCCTTCCCCAAACCCTCTTACTCTCTCTTCCTTTTATTTGCGAGAGTAGTTGTGACTTGTGATCAGAAAATACAAGTTCCCCCAGACTGTTGAATTGCTTTATTATTTTAACAGGTAATGATTGACTGAAATGTATTCTGTTGGTACAGCTGTGAGCAGAACATGAAGAGGTACTCACGTATATTTGTGACATTGACGGGAGTACATGAATCTCTTCAGCTCTTTAGGGTATGGAGTAAATGGTAAAGCCTTGGCTCTTTCCCGATCCTTAGTGAGTGGTGCATATTTTCTTTGGCCTTTTTATTTCGTAATTCCTGTATGTGATGTCGATCATCTATTTTTCCATTCCAGGTCGTGGAAGGCAAACTACTTGCTGGTTGTGTGCGGTATGAGTGGTACCATCCACGTAAAGCTTCGTGAAAATGGAAGTGGATAGAAATATTCCTTTTGTACCTCACTCTCATCTACAACGGGTGGGTAGAAATGATCCTTTTCGCTCCATGTAGACAAAGACTAACTACTTATAATGAACTTTTGTCATAAATGATAAGAATAATACTAGTGATTTGAAGCCCTGGAATATCTGTCCTAACTCCGGAAGGAAAGCCTAGAAACTACGCGGCTGTACCTATCTATTCCAATAGCTTTTTCTTAAAGTAATGACTGCTGCTATAGGCTGTCGATCTGTAGCTGTTATATGCTCCTATGAGTAGATTTTTTCTTTTCTTGCCAAAGTAGAAACTGCTCCTATGGATTTTGTAGCTGTCATACGAAATTTGAATGCACTGAAAATGGATTGATGGCCAGCAACCTGGTGCATGCATAAGACACTTAATGGGTGCTACTAATAAGTCACACCAGAAGCGAACGGTAGGCAAGTAAAACTGCATTACTCACACCACAGAGAAAAGCACGGTAACAATGTCTATGGAACACCTCGCTTACAAAACTCTTCTTCTGCATTATATTATTAATACAATGCTTCTTTTTCTTGTATTTATTGCTTCACCTGGTATTCGATTGATTGCTGCTATAATATATTTTGTTTATTTTCTATTTGCATTTGTTGGTTTAGTTTAGAGGTTAAGTAAAAAGGGAGATAAGTACGACCTCTGTTTTGTTTGCGACTCTGCGCTTATGGAAAATACCCTGAATTTATTAAAAAGAAAACACTAGATTTTAGAATACCACTTGGATTTCAAGAACCTGTTCTGTTAATTTATCAAGCCTCTGCCCAACAGTTATTTCTACTGTTAAAATGTTGTAACATCTAGAATCTTAGTGCCTTTAAAATTTTGAATCACCCTGTCCTACTATTAATAATTCATCTGACCTTATACTGTCCAGTCCCTTTGCATTGAAATAATGTTTTACGGTTGTGGCTTTCTTCTATTTGATAGCTTTATATTCTGATTTATTCTTCATATGTTCTATCATGCCAGTTGGAATGGCTTTCTAAGTTGTTTAACGTCATTTTTAGGACGAAGAAGATGTCTGAAGAGTGGAGGCGGAGTACTGTGATTCCGTTGTACAAGCACAAGGGGGTATCTAAAACTGCAACAACTATAGGGGTATCAAGTTGTTAAGCCATACGATGCAGGGTGGATGAAGTGGAGACTCGCTTCCGGTGTCTTGTGCGATAAGAATGTGCCGTTGAGACTTAAGGGTAAGTTCTGCAAGGTAGTGGTTAGACCGACTATGTTGTATGGGGCAGAGTGTTAGCCAGTCAAGAACTCCTATGTCCAGCAAATGAAAGTAGCTGAAATGAGGATGTTAAGATGGATGTGTGGGCATACTAGGTTGGATAGAATTAGGAATGAAGTTATTCGGGACAAGGTGTGAGCGGCCCCTTTGGAGGAAAAGATGCGTGAGGCAAGGCTTAGATGGTTCGGGCATATTAAAAGGAGAAGCACAAATGCCCCAGTCAGGAGGTGTGAAAGGTTGGCCTTGGGGGGTAAGATGAGGGGTAGAGCTAGGCCAAAAAAGTCTTGGAGAGAGGTGATCGGGCGGGACATGGCGCAGCTTGAGCTAACCGAGGACATGACCCTGGATAGAAGGGTGTGAAGGTTGAAGATTAGGGTAGAAGGTTAGTAGGTAGTTGTGCGTTTCTCTTTGTCTTCACTAGTTCGATAGTATTAGTGTTAGTATGGTACCCCTTTTATCCTTAGTTTACTATTATCACATATCTTGTTCTGTTATTAATTGCCATCAGTACTTCCTTAGTTTGCTAACAGTACTTCTTTCATATTCTCTATTGCTATCTTGGATTTAGTTTTCTAAATATATTATCTTACTATTACTTGGTATCGGTACCTCTTTCATATTCTCTATTGCTATCTTCGATTTAGTTTTCTAAATATATTGTCTTGCTATTACTTGCTATCAGATGCACTTACCAATTTGGATTGAAATAATTTTTAATTCATCTTGTCCAATGACATTCTTTTCCTTTAATTTCTTCTTTACATGGTCCTGTTGCTTATACTTCACTCAAAGTCGTCATATCATCTGGATGCAGATATTTGATCAGAGTTTTTCAGAGGTTTTGATGGGATAGAGAATGACTATGTACAACAACAACAACCCAGTATAATTCCAATAGTGGGGTCTGGGGAGGGTAGTGTGTACGCAGACCTAGGGGTAGAGAGGTTGTTTTCAAATGACCCTCGGCATCCTTCCCTCCAAGAACTCCCCACCTTGCTCTTGGGGTGACTCGAACTCACAACCTCTTGGTTGGAAGTGGAGGGTGCTTACCATCAGAGCAACCCACCTTGTCAAGAGAATGACTATGTACATTTGAGGAAATAGTAGTTTCTTTTTGGTGCACACCATGAGGTTCCAGTGTGTATAGAAGGTTGATGTCGTTCCTAGAGAATCATATAATGTTGTAGATTCTCTACTTTTTTGATATACTGTTGGTACACGGGAAACTGCAGTTCCTTTTCGTAGAGAAACCAGCAATTCCTTTTTGTCTGCAAAGTCGAGATTTTAACTGATGTTTCTCTTTTTGTGTAATACAATGTGCTGTTGAATTTTGCCTTCTGAAGCAGGTTTACTTTACTACTAATTCTTATGGATTCCTCGTGAACTGAACGTTAGTCCCTAATATGTTTGCGTTTCCTGTTTCTATTGTAGGTCTTAATATATCTCGGGCACATCAATTGTACTTGTCAAATCTGTTCTGTTTCTCTCCTGAGAAGTTTTAGAAAAGTGATACATGCAGTATGAATAGGTGAAGAAACCATGGACTTACCAATTATCAGCTGGAAAAGGAAAAGCTGTTTGTCCTGGGTAAATATATAGATTTGATTAATTGAAATCTTGGGAGTATTGAAATACTCTGGGGGAGTTGCTGAAAAAGTTGAAGCCATGAATAAATAAAAGGCTCTTGATTTTGAAGTTTCATATGCTGTGACATGTGATAGTTCATTCCGTATCTTTTCGGATCTCTCCTTTCTTTTTCCTTTCGTTTATATTTTGGTGTTTCACTTTTGGAGGAAAGAGCACGTAGTTGCGATGTTGCTTGAGACAAAAATGCATGGTGGAGCTCTTGACATGAGTTTATGTTTCCACTGCTGATCTTTTAAAAATCATGGGTTGGACTTGGTTGTTTAATTCAGGTATACAGCTAAATCTCTGTGCAACAAGTTACCGTGTCAATTCGTATCTCGTTCTTTTATTCTGGGGAACAGATTTTTTGCGTCTTTTAGTGTTAAGCATCTCATAAATACAGTATAATCAGTTAATTGAAGATATAATTTCTCATTTTAAGGTTAACATGTTAACCCCTCCTGTTAATGTGGTACCCGATCAGCTCTCACATCCAGGGCATCCGTTGAGAATGATTATGTTCAAGTGGCTGAGTTCTTTGATTTCAATAGTATAAATCGATCACGTCTATTGACACAACAATCAACATATGGGGCTATCTGTTCATATATTCGGTTTGAAAGTTCTTAACAATGAAAAAAAAACAGTATTAAAACAAACTGTAAATACTCTCTACTCCTTACTTTCCTGTGTATCTTGAGTCTTAACTCTTAAGACTCTCCTTTTAAGGAAACGTGACATTAGTTTGTAACGACACAAAAAACAATGGTGGGAAAAAAGTAAGAAATTGAAAGTAGTTCCCGAATTCTCTGAGAATAACTTATAAATATATAAAAGAGAAACATATAGACATCCAGCTCTTGTAGCTCAGTTGGTTAGAGCACCCGTTTAGTAAGCGGGAGGTCTTGAGTTCGACTCTCAACAAGAGCATTTTTTCCTCTTTCTCAGTTGTAACTAACAACGTAAGAGCTTGTTGCAAAATGAACTTTGAGATTACTCTTTTGATAGGGCCCAGAGTTCTCGTTCTGGACGTGTGATATACATTTCCTTAGTGACAGAAAAGAAAAACATTTCCCGAATTCATAAAGTTTTCGAATATGGAGGAAGACTTCATGAACCACATCAATGGAATAATTTTTCTCTTCAATGATTCCAGACTCCAGAGTAGTAAAAAAGAAAGTCGATCGTTTTGAATGTTTTCTCTCGTTTCCTCTTTATACCTAGTGGAGACGCTTTCTACTTCCAATAATTCCAAAATGGTGAAAATACAACAACAACAATTGCATATTGGATACGGGTAAACCGAGCCACTAAGCACCCCGATTCAAACGGAGCAGGAACGTGACCATAAGGAATCAGAGTCAAAGCGAGGAGCCCCCTGTATTGGGGCTCGGGCAAAATACCTGCCCTCGGAGGCATCAGGACCATGTCCTCCGGGTCCGGTTCGAGCCCCAAGGCTTCAGAGAGTATTACCAAATAACCGTACACGACTAACAAAGGTCCGTGATGTCCGTGTCCAACCGGATATCGCGGCATGAATCTCGGCCCGTATCGGCAGAAAATAAGTGATTAGCGAAACGAAAGATTGTTACCTTTCTTAGGATTGTACTTAGGATAAAACTCCTCCACTATATAAAGGGGAAGCTTATTATTCATTAAACGCATTGTAACACGCATATCAAGGCAGTATACTTCTGCTCTTTTTATTTTTAAAAGTTATTCAAAGTTCTTCATAAGTGCAAGGTCGGAACCGAAGGTAGGTTCCTCGTCAAGCCATTAACTGAGTCCGGTCTCACTCTTATCATTGATTTGGCCATTTATTACATTTTTTATTTGCTTAATCTAACGTCATTGATTATGTGTATTGAATTAATCCCATGTCCTATAAATTTAATTGTTATCTGTTTTTAAAAGTAAAAATACTAATTGGTCAGTAGAGGTAAAGAGAATGTTTTATTAGTGTTCTCAGTGTGCATTCTTGTTTGATCAACAAAAGGGATTCAAATGAACAAATTCTCATTTCGTACTGAAGTCCAACTTCGAATCATCTTCCTTGTGGACATGATGGAGTTAGCTAGGTGGTTTCGCCATTTGATCGGTCCTAAGGAAGCTCCAATTTGAGGGTGAGTTTAATTCATACTTAAAAGTTGAACGGTAAATTTAGTTTTATTTTCTGAAAGTATGTGGACACGTGAAGCCCACAATACATTTCATGTTGAAATTATGTTACTGGCGAGAACATTACGAGACAATTTGCTAAAGAGTATGAATAATATAGAAATATAACTGAGGGACAAAATGGAACAATCTTGAATAATACAAGGACAGATTTGGGCATTTTATTTCTTGTGGCTGCATGATATAAAGGACCATTTTGGTGCCCTGCTAAATAACTACGATATGTTTTGGTTTTAAGAACAATTAACTTAATTGGTAAATGCATTTCGTTACTTATACAAGTACACAGTATCATTATCTTCCTTCGATTTATTTTGCCGTTATTTTCTCTAATTCACTGATTAGCGAAGTTGAAATCTATTGCCAAGGAGGGTCATCCCTTTTGCTAATGATGTTGGAAAAAGAAAATTCTCAAAGATAGTTACTTGTTTGTTTTTTCAAGTGCTTGTTTTTTTGTAAGTTGCATACTTCCCGCAAACAACAACTAATTAACAACGGCTGAAATAGATGCGATTTGGATTTATTATCCATAATTAATCTAATCGGATATTTTTATCAAGTTCGTTACATCGAAGTTTATTTATTGCATCATGTCTAATTTTAACAATTACTAGAATTGATTAAATTTCCAAATGATTAGAACATATCAAGTACTTTTTAAAAAAATTAAGAAAACAAAGTTAAGTGAAGAAATCATTAATGCAACAAAGTTACCAGCGATACCATCTTCAGTTTAATTTACGTTAAATGTCAATCGCTTCCCTTTTCTGTCCCATATCCTATCCCTTCCCTACCAAATATATAAGTATCAAATAAATAAATAAAAGTAAAACTACATGAATTTCATAAGGCCCCTTAAACTCAACAACAAACAACAATTACATTTGTTGGTTATATTAACCCTTTGACCATTTTTTTAGTCTAGCCAATATTAAAAATAAAATAAAAAAGTACTAGCAGTTCTTAGATTTTTCAATTAGCACTTTTGATAACTAAATGAAATGCACTGCAACTATTGCAAAAAGGAAAGGGTTCACATACCATTTACTACATAAAATATTTCAATTTTAATATTTGTTATTCTTAGGGCACTTTTTTACGCAAATCATCTCGTATTTATCCTTGAGTTTAGTGACTCTCTGGTGGATTCTACGTGTCAATACACTTTAGAAAGAATATTTAAATTTACTCCTATAAGTTTATTATTGTATAAAATTACCCTTTGTTATACCTCATGTACGTTGCAACTACATCAAATCCAAGATTAAGACAATTTACTAATGATAAAATATGAATAGCCTTGAAATATAGCATATAATAAATCAAAAATATTTCGTATAATAGAGAAATTTTTTGAACTGTTTAATTACCTTGTGAAAAAGAAAGCCAAGAGCAATGCAAAAAATTGAAAGGGCAGTCGGTGCACAAGGCATCTCGCATGGTACGGGAAAGGGTCTTACTCTAAGGGGTGCGATATAGACAGTCTACCCTAAGTTTTCACGACTCGAACTCGTGATCTATAAGTGTCGTATAGAGACAATTTAAACGTTACTCCATTAATGTGAAAAATAGAAGGAAGAAAAAAAAATTATTGTATTAACTAGTTAGTGATTGGGCCAGAGTATATATATATATATATAAATAGAGTGAAAAAGGAAGACCCATTTAGATCTACTCACATCGTGCCTACCCCTCAAACCTTTACATCCCCACACCACACCCAACAGACAAAAAATACTTTTGTGTGTGTAATTTACAGAGATGAGAATAAGAAAGCATGCCAAAATTTCCCCGCTCCTCTATTCTTCTTCATTTCTCAAACAACAAGTTCCCGTTCCCGTTCCCGTTCCCGTTCACGTTTGCCAGCTGAATCAGTCTCCTTGGGATGTCATCACATTCCCCTTAGAACAAGACGAAGAAAACGATAACCCAGAAATAAACCAGTCTCTACTTCGCCCACCACCGCCGTCTTCTTCTTATCAGGTCTGTCTAAAAAATCTCTTTTTCTCCTTATTTTTCTTCTCCTTTTCCCAGATCTATAGAATACCAGGCTCATTTCGTTTCATCAATGTCCTTTCATTTCTTTTGGCTCTCTTTGTATCTGCTTTGTGGTTTAGGGTTTTATGGGGAACTCCTATTAGGGTTCCTTAATGAATCTCAATCCCACCATTTCTGTCGTGTATTTAGCCTTCTTCGTTCAATTTAGCTCATGGGTTTTGACTGTTTGCTCTATTATCCACTGCAAAGCTTGTATTCTTTTAAGAACTTTCGATAAAATTTTATTTCTTTGCTGCAGCTGGATGGATATGATAGCTACGCTGTAAATGGGACCTCTTATGATTCAGAGCAGAGGTAACTTTTTCGACTATTACATCAATTTGATTACTTCTTCTTTCTGCAGAATAATTTATTTCTTTTTATATTTCAGAAACGATAATTAGGATTTGAAATTTTGGCCGTATAACAGTTGGGTATAAATCATTGGATTAAGTGAAATGTTGCCTCAAATGCAATTGCTTGTAATGTTGCGTTACCATTGTGTTTTCCGCAGCATCACGTCGATGAAGCTGGACGACGACGAAAGGGAAACGAAGAAAGAGATGGATTGTTCTAAATGGGATAACTTTGACAATAATAATATTGTTGCTGATGATTTCGTTAAGTTTGAGAAGGAATTTGAGAAAGAGAAAGAGAACGAGGAGATGGAGGAGCAGCTAGGGTTGGAGAAAGATGGAGATAATAATATAACGACATTGTGTTGCAAGAATGATGGGAAGGGATGGCAATGCAGTAGAGAGGCAAAAGAAGGGCACATTTTATGCGAACACCATATTGCTCAGGTGAAGAAGCAATACAGCGACTCAGCTCATTCTACTTCTAAGCTGACTACGGCGGCGGCGGAGTCCCGCGGCCGCCCCCATCGTCCTAAGAAATCATCATCTTCCGAATTCTACTATTATTCGGGTTTTGGTCCTTTGTGGGGCAAGAAAAGAAGTCATGCGAAGACTGATCCTGCAACTAGTGACAGTCACGGGGCAAAGTCGTCTTCTTCTTCTTCCCAAATGGATACTGAAGAATTTGACGAAGATGAAGAAAACGGTAAGATCAAAAGAGCCCGTAAGCCCATAAAAGCTAGATCACTCAAATCTCTTATGTGAAATTTAATGCAACTGCAGTTTTTATTTTGAGTTTAGTTTATCAGTGTTTTTGTCGAGACGTGTTGTGATTATCGTAGAATGTTATTATTATTATTTTTTTTAAGTAGGAGTAATGTTCTTTATTTAGGGTATGGTAGATTATTTTGGTTTCATGGTTATAAGTGTTCTACTGTAGGTGACATTAGCTTTTTTGCTTCAGTACTGTAGCCTTGGCATGTGTGGCAATGTTTAGATGCAGACTTTTTGTTGTGTTGGACAAAATCATAAGGATAAAACTGTAATTTCTGATGATTTTTGAATCTCATTCCCTAGTGTTTGGCATGCGCGGCTGTAAAACTTTAAAATTATTACAAATATCAATATAATTACTCCGTAGTAATTACTTTGGTTATTAGTAAAAGGCAAATATAATTTATAAATATATATTACAAACAGCAATAAGTTTGTGTGTATATATATATATATATATATATATATATATATGTTTATTCGTGTTTTGGACTTATAACGCTTAACACAACGAAAGTAAATAAAATTAACATCCGGAAAGCTACAAATAGTAAAACTAAATTACAAATATACAGTACAAAATGTAAAACATAATCTTCTTGAACAATCAACTATGCCGAAATATGTAAGGTAAAATAGAATTCGAAAAACAATAGTTTGCTTGAATGGTAGTATAAAGTAGTATAAATTAATGTATGTGTCCCACCTTATATCACTATATTACTATTTGGAGTTAGTTAAATTTTTACTCTTTGATCATTATTTTTTAAATATTTTGATTATTTTATTTTAATTTTTTTATTTATTTTTGAAATATATAGGAGTTGAACTAAATGAAAGGAATGATGATTCATGTAACCGACCTCAATTTGTTTGGGACTAAGATATAGTTATTGTTGTTGTACATTTTATAAAACATGTATTTATAGTACTCTTGTGCAGTGTTTGTTACTATGTAGAGTTTACTTAAAAAAAACGTTAAGGAATCAGTATCTAAATCACATAAATATTTTCACCAATTTGACTCTTGTATCCGAGAACGATAGACGTTCTCGTTGTTGACCAAATATAAATAAGGATAAAACTGTAATTCACATGCTTTCTGGCCTTCTGTGCTCCGACACCCTCTAGTGCGGCTTTGGCATGAGCATGTATCAAATACGTACAATTTTTGGGAGACTAATAGTATGATTTATTGTTAAAAAAAAATTGTTTGTATGATTACTTTTTTGCAAGATGATCATTAAGTATGATACAGAAGTTGAGTAAGTAAAATACAAGAGATTTTTGTTGGATCATTTTTCTCTATTCAAATTGTAAGTTTATAATAGGTCATAGGAGTTAGGAGATTAATCACCCAAAAAATTGAGTTGGTTAGTGTTTCAAATGGAAATAATATTAAAAAATATAGATAATTGCTAGCACTTTTTACTTATATTTTTACTTTGTATACTATTAAGATGAGATGAGTTTAAATAAAGAAATTATATATA